CCCCCCCCCCAAGTGGGGGGGGTCCCCTCCGTACCAGACGTGTTGTCTTCTGTTCTCTGCCTGGTGGGCCCAGGTGTTCCCCTGCCCTCCCCCCCGCGGTGGGGGTGGGGGACATGGCATCGGGTAGGCTGGGTTGTCTGCCCATCCGTTGGGACAGTGTCTCTCTGTGTCTCCGAGAGCAAGGAGCAGGTGACCCTGGAGGCACCGTGAGCGGGAAGCTCTCTAGCTGAACAACCTCTGCATCCTGGCAGGAGGGCTCTGGGGCTTTGCTGGTGGCCTCTGCCCACGGGGGTCAGAGAGAGACCCTCTCTAGGGACAGACCCCAAGTTAAGGGGTCTGAGGACCCCCTTGGCAGACTCAGCCACCAGAAGCTCATGTCCTTAATGCCTCAAAGGTGTGAAGGAAGGGCTGGAGTCAGGGATGTGAGGCCTAGAGACCAAAGGGGCGGGCCAGCACGGTCCTGCCACCAGCCGACTTGGAAGGCACACAGGGAACCTGAGGGAGCCCAGGGTGACCTGAGGGATGGGACCTCAGGCTGAGGCAGCAGGAGCCAGGTTGGGAGCCATGTGGAGGGCGGTGGAATGGGAGAGGCAGGGGCTGTAAGACTTGGGATGGCTACCGGGGTTGGGTTGGAGTTGGGTACAGAGGAGTCAGTCAGGTTGCCTATGGCCAAATTTGGTTGTGACCCGAAAGAAGGCACATTCTCGGTGAGGAAGGCCAGAGTCCCTAGGGTCTTGGCCCTTTGTTGGGTGGCCCTGGTAGCTAGTGCAGCCCTCTGGGGGCTCTGGAAGTTTCCCTCTCAGGGCCTCTTCAGCAGATCAGCAAGTATCGCTGGCCTTGAAGAATGGGAGAGCAGCTGATTGGGTGAAGGGGGTTTCGCTGGGGCCGCCTGTCCTCCAGTCCCAGAGATCCCTGGGGCAACTTCCCAGGGGGGCCTGTGTCTCTCAGCTGAGTGCCAGTCTAGTCTTGCTGCTTGGGGGAGTCCCTTTAAAAAAGGCCCATCCAGGAGAGAGAGGGGATATACATGTGGATTTTTTTTATTTGGCCAACTTAGAGCTTCAGTTCTTGGGTGGCTGTGAGTCCCTCCGCTGCACTCCCTGTAGTTCATCTATGCTGGCGGGGCTGGGCCTAGGCTCCATTCTGGGCCACCCACTCTGGAGATGTGAGTGACAGGGTCAGGTGGGGTGGGGGAGGCAGACACATGGACAGGCAGTTTTCACTGTGGGAGAGAGGGACAGGGACAGCTGGCTGGCCGGGCGTTAGGGTTAGATACGGAGCAGGGCACGGCGCAGGGCAAGAGGGACAGAAGGGAGAGTTGGCAGTTAGAAGGAATTCACCCAGCTCTGGCCTAGGGCTCCTCCTTGTGCCTGGAGGCGG